GGACTCTTGCCGTTCTACTCGGCTCACCAAAGTCTCCAGCTCCAGACTGCGCCTCAAGGACTGGAGCAGCCGCACTTCTACACTGCGAAGCACCTCCACGAGCCCATCGGACACCGACTCCCCAAGCCACCCTCTCAAAGCCATCAGCGTGGGTGCTTTGGATAAAAGGCTGTCTGTATTCAAGGCTGAGGACCAAAAGGAGAGTCCAAAGGAGGCCCAAGATGGGGACACGCTAGAGAGCCATCCGCTCGCCCGTAGCACTCTGTCCCTGGGCACTGCCACTAACCTGAGAAACCTCTCCCTCAGCCGGGCGAGCGTCCGCTCCCAGGCGCTGGACATCAGGCAGAAGATCACAGCATGGGAGTGCCGCCGGGAGCCGTCCCCCAGGACAAGCGCGTGTGTGGACAAGCGGGATGCTGGGGAGAGGTCAGGCAGTGAGAGCTGCCCCAGCGTGCTGACCTCTCCCTGCAGCGAGAAGACGTTCGATTTCAAAGGGCTCAGAAGAATGAGCCGAACATTTTCTGAGTGCTCTTACCCGGAAACGGAGGAGGAGGAACTCATGGACAGGGATTCCTGCCACCGGTTCGACAAGAGGCCAGGCAGGAGTGAGCCGCCTCCTTCTGCTTTCCTCAAGGGCCACGTGCGGAAAGAGTCCTCTGCCGTGCTCAACAGAATACAGAAGATCGAGCAGGCACTGAAAGAGCAGCCCGGCAGAGGCCTCCCCCAGTTACCAAGTAGCTGTTACAGCGTTGACAAAGGGAGGAAAAAGTCTGTGACTCTGAGTACTGTGGAGGGACTGAGTGAAGCCCTAAGTGACAGCAAAGGAGGAAGTGTCATTTTGGGGAGTGAACCAGAAACACCTACCGAGGCTGAGAAAAACAGTAAGACAAAACAGGGGGTTTCTGCAAACTTGGCTGGCCCTAAACTGCTCCTCGAAAGCCCGGCTAACACCGCAGTGAATCCTGTCCCCAAGCCCAAACGCACCTTTGAATATGAAGCAGACAAAAACCACAAAACTACACCAAGCAATGGCCTACCTCTATCTCCTACACCTGCTGCTCCTCCTCCTCTCCCGTCCACCCCTGCACCTCCCGTAACCAGAAGGCAGAAAAAAGAGTCGCGCTTTCACAGAAAATCCCAGAATAGGTAAAATTCAAGGAAATGTCTTGTGCTCAATCTTCAAACAAATAAATGTGCTGTATTTTTTTAGTAACTATATTTTAAATTCTCCCTCTAATGCAATGCTTTTGACCTGAGAAATGCTAGGAATTGCATGCAAGACAAGTATTTTTTCCACTGGACTGCACTGATGGGATGCACTGGTACAATACCTTCACATGGCTACAGTTTTGGAATTCTCCAACCCGCATTCCTCAATCCCTGGAAGAGGCTCTAGATCGACGGTTCTCTCGTTCATTTTGGAACAAGTGCCCTCACTTGAGATTTTTAATGGAGCATAATTTTATTGTCCTCTTGTAGCAGGACCATAGCTCATCTGTCATAGTCCTGTCTGCTTGTTCACTGCAAAACACACCTGCAGAGGCTTTGTGTTTCCAAACCTTGTTACCGCAACAGTTGTGTCAGTTTTATGCGATGTTGGTGATTTTATTTAATGCAGTGCTTAGAAATGTGGTCCTAAGTTACTCTCAATAGCTGTAGAGGATTAATGCTGAGAAAACTATGTTTTAGGACAGAAAGGCCTTTATATCCTTCCCGGGTTAATGATGAGCAGAGTATATGCCTACGTTTCCCCCGCAGTCTGCGGAGCTTGGCTTGTTTTAACTAGATGATTCACCCTGACTTTTTCAAAATAGTAAATCTCATTCTGCTCACCACTTAGAAAATTGTAGGCATAATTGTTGATAAGCATTCAAAGTATGGCATTTTTAACAAGTTCACCTATGTGTGCATGTGTACGATACACACACAATCTTGGTATTTAGTATTTGCGTGTAACTGCTAAGCAGCATCCCAAATGCATTCTGTCAGTTCAGTATCTGGTGCTTGATGATGGCTCAATTAATTAGAAGTTTATGTCAGCACAACCTGACCTGAAGTACACTGAGGCAGGAGAAGAAGAGGAGCCTCCAGATTCTGCTCTTTACTTTCAAAAGACACCTGCTTCTGAAATGGATCACACAGCTCTGCTGATGTGCGTTGTTTCACTGAGAGAGGTGGGGGGGTGGAAATGTGGGAAGCCAAGCTCTGATTAGCAGTGCTGATCTTTGAGTTCTGGCAATAATCTCAGTTAGTGGAAGTAAATCTAAATTTTAACAAGAATTTGTGAAATAAAGCTGACCTCATTTTGTTCAGTGCAGCATTCCAATGTACAAAAGACAAACAATGATTTTTACATGTTCTGCTATAATTGATAGCCTTTGTTGGAAAATTAAGGGGCAAGTGGTAAAATGGTCTGTGGGGTGGGTGGCAGAGAGGAATGAATAACAGGAGATGCTTCTGCACAGAATCACCATGTGACCTGCGACTAAGTGATCAAAGTCAGTCTCCAAGTACACACTCGCACGGAGTTTGAGACCATACAAGTCCTCTAAGAACTGCAGTATTTTGTTGCAGTGAGTTTTTGAGATGAAGAAGAGGTACAATTTGTGCTTGCACCTGCCGTTCTGCAGGTTCAGTCTCCCATCATAGTGGAGTTAGTCAACAGCATGGTTCAGCAATGGAGCCTCGGTTCTGAGCGGGGCTAGTAGGTACGAGCCCAAAACAAAAGCAGTATTTACCAATTTAAGTTGTGATTAGTTGAGTATAAGTTGTAGGATGTACAGTGCTATCATCTGTATTCTTGCAAATCCGTTTGACATTGTACAGGGTAGGTTTCCATTTGCCTGTAACAGCTTTACCCTGCTGTAGTTCAGTGATTTCTCTGGACTTACCTCTAATTAATGGTGATCTAAGTAAGTTTAAATCAGCCTCCTAAAATCTCGGGTTTGCTGGCTGACTCTAAGGCCGGGTGGAAATCCTTTACAAAATCTTAACTTTGTTGTCTTTGCTATTGCCCTTCCTTTAGTTACAGTAAGGAGAATTCCAGCATTTGCAAAGCACTTGAGACCACACCAGTCATCTAAGAATGCCAGTATTTTATTAATGTTATTGAAATCTCAGTCTCTAAACTGTTCTGTTTTCGAGAACAGACGTAACCCATTATGTCTACAGCTTGTTGCTGTGTGTTTCGGATTGAACATACGTGTGGTTTGCACTCACTGGAATGTCACAAGAAGGGACTGTGGATACGTATTCTTCTAATATTTTGGTTGAAAACATTGGTTTTCTTTATGGTAGCTAATTCAACATTACAATAAAATGGAGACATTCTCTCACATTTGCCTGCTAGCATAGAGCCAGTCTGTATTCTGAGAAACTGGTGCCCACGGTAGCTTCTGTACTTTGGACTGATGTGAGCTGGACGTTCCCTGGTGGTTGGAGATCCTCTGGCACAGACACAGCGCAGGAGGGGAGTGTTGCAGGATAGGGTGGGGACACATGGATCACAGCTGAGTGCCAGCCCACAACACCACTCCCGTGGTCCTATGCAGTGTCACTGCATCGCCGTGTTTCCTTGAGGTCTATGAGTTGGATATTTAGCCCCTTTAAAATGTGTCATTTCATACACAGGTATGTCTTCAGTGCCTAAGCATCTTTTATAACTGCCAGTAGGTGTGGAGGAGCGGGTGTCTGGATCTGAAATGCATGGCTTGTTTCTGCCACTCTCCTGATGTGCATAACAGGGACCTGACTCTTCCTAAGAAGAGCACGGAAGGGAGAGAGAGGAAGCTCCTAGGCCTGCCCCAGACCCATAAGTCTGCTCCAGCAGACAAATAGGAAATGCTCTTGCTGAATGCCATGTCTGTACAATAGTCACTATATTGCCTGTAGGGAGACTCTTCAGCCAATTAACACGCTGAGTATATCTGGTGAGACTCTGTCACTGCCATATGGATCTGCTGTCAACACGTTTCACTCCAGCTGGGGAGAAGAGGAAAGGGGTTGATGGCAGGATAATTTACCATCAATCTAGTTTGGGTATTAATGAGTGAAGTACAGGCATCAGCACAGGCTCTGCAAGCCTTGCAGCACCCCGGGGTTTACACTTCTGAGTCCAATTTTCATACCACTTCATCCTCAGCCCTAAATCAATTGAATGCATGCTAGCCCTCATACAGCTGGCAATGTAAACCATGCACCTCCCAACTTCAGTGTAGATGTTACCTCAGAGAACAAGTGCCGGGCAAACTGGAGAATGGAGAGGACTTGGGCTCCTCTTCATCCAGAGCTCCTTCAAGTACCTGGGTATGAGACAAGTTGTATGGGTTCATCTGACCCAGTTGCCCCTCTCCTTCTTGCCAGAAAGCCTGAACCTTCAGGACCCAGCCATCAGCCCAGGCTGCTCGTCTACCCCAGACAGCCTTAACCTCCTCCGTGCTTTGTCCTTTGCTGCCAGTCAACGGGGGGTGGGCAAGGGAAATGGCTGACTTTCACAGGGTCTGCCTTTGGCATTTGTACACAGACCTTTATGCAGGAACATATTTGGAGGTTCAAGACGTGAGTGTTTTCAAACTAAGGGCTACATCTCCCAGAGCAATTGGTGGAGGAGGAATGCTTTCCAGAGGAATGTCTTTTTCTTGAAGAGCTATGGCCACGTGTTTCTGGGGCCCCTGGCAAGAAAAAAGCAATCTCTAATCTGAGGATTGTGCTTCTAACTTTGTTACCTCTGAAAATCATCACATACTTTCTTGGTATTTTCTCCCTGTCTGCATAATGGGGATAACAATACTTCCAACCTCATAAAAGTGTCACAGATTGTTATACTAAAGACTGCTGTGAGTACAAGACTTGAGGTCCTCTAAAAGTTAGTCCTTAAAGCATGATGTGTAATTTTTTTTCTGTTAGTCATTTTATATATATTTCTTAGCAAACAATACTCAGCTAAGCGTTTGAGTCATTTTGCATTCTAGTTACTAATTACTTATTGTTTTAAACTTTAGAAAATCCTTCGAGTTTGAGGATGCGTCAAGTCTGCAATCCCTGTACCCGCCCTCCCCAACTGAAAATGGGACTGAGAGCCAGCATAAGTTTGGATCCAAGAGCACTTTAGAAGAAAATGCCTATGAAGACATTGTAGGTAAGGATCTGTTGCAGTACATGGGCTCACAGCAGGGTGTTGAGCAGTTGTGGTCAGACCATGTATTGTTGAACACATGCCTTGTGCAAGAACATTCAGTGCTGTCAGTAAAGAGGGGTTAAATAGAGGGTGAATGGGTTGGATGCATCAGTGCAAACATAATTCTCAGTCTGCATGCAGGAGGTCTTGATTCCTTTGGGCTTCATCGGGTGGTGTTGGAGACAAACTGTTTGGTCAGCTTTTTGCCATGCTTTTCAAGAACCAAATCATTCTTTTAATCAGGGCCTTGGCTTGAAGCCTAGAGTGGTGTAAAAATGTAAAGAACTGAACTTGAGACGGTGTTTACAGAACTATCCAATAGCAAGATTAACCTCACAGGCCTTGTGTGGTCAGCCTGAGCTTTTCAGGACTCCTGTGTGGACTGCCCCAAAGCAGTTGTTTGCAGCACCATTCCTGGTTTCCCTTCAGTCCCAGTTGCTGGTTTAAAAAAAAATAATTTCCTTTAGCTATAGAGCCATCAGGAATGCTCAACAAAAATGCTGTTTTGATTAAGCTTCACAAGAAAAACATGTTTCTTTTGGTCTTAGAAGGAAATGTATGGCCTATGCATACATTCTTTTAACATCAAAAAAGTTGTTATAATTACCGAAAATTGGGCAGCCCTTCAGAGCACAGATCTTCCACACAAGTGATGAATATCTGCATTGTTTTTAACTCTTTCAGTGTTGTATTATTACAACACCTATAAAGTGTACTTCATTTTACTTTGGACAATGAACCTTTATCTACTGAAAACTGGATGGCTACCAAGACAGTCAGGGGCCCTAGAGCACATGTCCTCTGAAGAGACCCTGACAAGCTGAGCTTGTTTAGTCTGGTAGAAACAGGACCAGAGGCACTCTGATGCTGCTTACAAATGTTTGAAGGGCAAACAAAGATGATGATAGCACAAAACTCTTCTTGGTCATATCAGCTGATACAGCAAGCAACAGTGGCCACAAATTGCAGCTTGGGGCTCTTTGTCTTTATACCCAAGTTCTGTCTCAGGTTTGTCAGCCTCAGTGAAAACAGAAATTTGCTCTTTCCATTTTCAGCTGTACTGTCCCCCTATGCCATTTGAAAAAATGCTTTCAGAACAGAAAAAAATGCTGCTGTTCAGTGTGTGTTAATAAAAATGAGAGCTTATGTAGATACTAAAAAGTTTTTTCCGTGGAGTGTCGTTATATGATCATCTGCCTTCTCCGTGATCTGCCTTCTCCGTGAACAGTCAGACCACTGTGTAATTCACACTTGAGAATGTGCGTTAACTACAGTGCTTATCTTTGCTCAGAACCTGTCAATGTGCTGCCAGATATTAGGTGATAAAGCTTCTTTCCCTTGCTTTGGTTTGTTGCATATCAAAATAAAATGTGCAGGCCTGGTAAGAAGCTTTCTTCAGACGAGAAGAAAACTTGTGTTCAGTAAAACAAAATCATAATGGGCTCTTCCAGCTCATGGGAACTATAAGCCAACTCCCTGCAAATTACAATTTGGACAGTTTGGCAGGGCAGTGGGAAAAAAAATGCAACATTTCAGATCTGTGGACAAACACAGAACTTCATTGTTTTGTACTGCTTTTTAACAACCCCTTTCCAAAGCACATCATTCAATACAGGCAGTGCTGGGGGGGAATACCAAATCAGTATAATTCTATAAACTTTCAAGCATGATTAAAGACAAGCCAAAGTAGTTTGATCTCCAGCTTTAAAGAAACTATCATAGTTTTGTGTATCACATCTGCATAATTTATACCAGTAGTGCTAGACCCCAGTCTCTAAGTAGCACTTTTATACTCTTGCAGTCCAGGTGTCTGTAAGAGTGAGTTTATTTTGTAGATTTACATCTGCTTCAAAGCTCTAAAGGACTCTGTCACTGCTGCTTTGGGTTTTCTTTGCAAACAGATGCCCTAAATGTGGTGGTGGGGTTTTTGTCTATACCTGGTTGAACCTCCTGCTTCTCTAAAATCTTGTAGGTAGTTAAAACATTATCACTGCGGTAATAAACTCCATAAATTCCCCTCTCACCCTACCCCCACAGAATTAAAACTTTTAATGCAAGTAGGTGTTAAAACACAAGAAAAAAAGGACTGTAAATCTTCAGCAATGCTCTAAGCACTCGACTGTGAGGAAAAAATCTTTAAAAAAAATTCAGGTTGGAAGAGACTCTGGAGTCAGCTGGTCTCACCTCTGCTCAGAGCAGGGCTAGTTTCAAAGTTAGATCAGATTGCTCAGGGCTACATCTGGTTGAGCTTTCAAAATATCTTAGGAGGGTGGTTCCACTGCCTCTCTGCACAGCCTGCTCTACTGCTTAACCTCCGCTGTTTCTTGATATCACTGGAAACGATTTTTTCTCTCTATCCAGTCAGAATTCTCCATGTTGCTATTTATGACTGTTGTCCTTCATCCTTTGACGGTGCACTCCAAGAAGCATCTGGCTCCCTCTTTTCTATAACTCCTTCTAGGTAGTGGAAGACAGCAGTTAGGTGTCCCCCCCAGGCTTCTTTAGGCTAAACAGTCCCAGTTCTCTCAGCCTTTTCTCATTTATGTTGTATGCTCCAGCCCCCAATCATCTTAGCAGCCTTGCTCTAGACTATCTCCAGTCTGTTGATGTCTCGCCAGTGCTGTGATTACTCCAGATGTGGCCTTGCAAGGGCCAAATAGAGGGGAATTACCACTTCCCATGACTTGCTGCCCATGCTCTTGCTAATGCAGACCAAGGTGTGGTTGACCTTCCTAGCCACAGGCATAGGCTGCTGCCTTATGTTTGGTTTGTTTTCCACTGGGACCCCAATTCCTTTTTTCACAGAGTTGCTGCCTAGCCAGTCAGCCCCGGCATGTACTGTCGCAGGGTTATTCTGATCCATGTGTGGGACCATATTTGTCCTTCCTAAACTTCTAGAAGTTCCTGTTGAGCCATTCCCTCAACTTGCTGAGTTCCCCCGGGACAGCAGCTCAGCTCTCCTGTCTGTCACTGCATCCCCCAGCCTGGTGCCCCTCAGCAGGACGTTTCCCCCTCACTGGAAAGCAGAGGAGAGCTGTGGATATGTTGTGAATGGTCTATCAGACAGTATCTTCTAAAAAGCACATTTAATGTTAGGTATCTGCAACATACTGTGCTGGGGTACTGAGTGCTCTCACTCAGACTAGCACAATGCTCAAAATACAGCTTCTAAGCACATAAATGCTAGGACTAGAGTTGTTGGTTTTGAGGTTACTACATGACCTCATCATCTGATGCACATGCACACTAAACCTTTGTCTTTCTCCTGGTGGCCTTACACCATTTCCTGCTTTAATGACCAGGACACTGATGAACTGCTATTGCTAGTTTATGTTGTTTTGAGAGCTGACGTAGAAAAGGTTTTAAGGTACATTAAAATCAAAAATTATTGTGCTTTGAAATCCAGTGACATCATGAACCAGATGCTTTGTTTAATTTTGTAGTATTTTTGTACATTTTAATAGATGAAATATCTGCATGTTAAGTTCAAGACAGATATTGGATTGGAACATAATGATTCATTCTGCATTAATCAAGAAACAGTTGTGTAAAGGGGTGCACATTCCTAATATTAATCAGAGCTGTATTCCATGTTCAAGGAACCATGTGGACTTCATTCATCTTCTGTACTAGCACTCACGGGAATGTGGCAGTCATAGTAAACTTAACATTGTTTTGCTTCTTGTGGTTTTGAATGAGTCTTTAATCACACCAAAACTGATGTGGCTTTATGAATCCAGTTGGGGAAATCATGCTTGGCTTTGTGTGAATTCAAGAAACGATCATAGTATTAAGAGATGTCTGAGACAATTGCTTCTGCTGTGTTTGTGGACAACAGTATTTCCTGTCATATGTGCCATACGGTTTCAGTTTTCCAGTCTGTTCCCCTAAATGCAGTTGAGATATTTGAATATTGTTATTTAACCTCTGGTGTCTCTGAGGCATTTTTCACCTGGCGTCTAGAAGAAAGCACTTGGTATCATGACCAAAAAAAGCTGAATGTGCAAACTGAAGGCAAGTTTAAGGGCGCAATATTAAGTTTAACTTGAGAAAATCTAGTAAAACCATGTAAATTACAGTTTGTAAGAGAAATTGCATTCACAATTCAGAAATTAAATATAGTGGAAGAAATGTTTGACAAGACAAGCCTTCTTACTCTGTTTGTAACTCCTCAGAGTGCTGGACACAGTAGAACAGGTGGAGATTTCCTCTAAGAGAACACTATACAGATGCGTAGGAGACACATTGCTCGACTGCTGTGCATGTTGCATCGTAGATTGAGAATGTTTAATGTGATGCGCACAACTCCATCTGCCCTGTCCAAGCACGAGCCATTTGCTCTTACAGCTGCCTGGCCCTCACTTCAACATTTTTTTCGCAAGAATGAAAGTGATTAAAATGCTTTTCCTCCCTGAAGATCTGTGACTAACAGGGTTTCTTGCTTCTCTACTGGTTTTGAAGTCATAGGGGGACTATTCAGCACATAGCCCAGGTGTATGAGTATCAGATTATTCACCTTCTTATGGATGAGTATCTTACTGGTGGAATAAGAAGAGCAGTTTGTATAAGAATGAGTTTATTTATTTCAGCCACGTAGTGCAGAGAGGTCTTGCCCCAGTAATGTTCTCGTTCTGTCTGACTGGCTCACATGCAAGACTGGTGCTTGCTTACTAAATTGCAATGGTCCAAAGAACCCTTAGAACTCGGTTAATTAACATGAAATACAGTGTTAATGAATTACCCTATTTTAGAGTCCCCAGCTGGGATTAGGCTGTGCTTTTCTTTGGGACAAGACTGGCTTGACTTTGTGGCTGGAGCTCTTTTGAGTGCATGTGCCCAGCAGCTTGGCGTCACGTTAGCCTTTGCTCTGTATCAGTTGACAGGGTTCCTGCTAGGCCTTTTCCCAGTGCATAGATCTGCTGGAATTGCTCCACGACTGGAACTGGATTTTTAGCTTAGTC